TTGGATGAAAGCGTCTGCCAAATGTGATGTAAATAGTGTTTAATAATGCTGGAGAAAGTCATAAGCTTCAAGGTGAAGTGCAATTTCTGTGCCACGACAATTTAGGTTTTTTAGGTTTCATAATTTGCATAAAAGAACAATTTATTAATTGCAATCTTAAAAACTGCTATATTCTTATTCTCTGCCACCTTCCCATTCAAACAGAACAGCAGACTCCTCTTCAATCACCAAACAGCCCAGGAGGACAGACCTTGTCCCCCAAAAAGCCCAGACCTTCCCAGCTCACCTTGCACACAGACCCTGCCGAAGACGACCAAGTGGTTCCCTGCTTTCAACGTCTAACGGTATCCGAACGCATCAGTCCCCCCCAGACGCCCAGCCGAGTCACCAAACCCCTTCCCCCAATTCCCGGCTCAGCGGAGCTTTCCCCGGATCAGGCTATGGACAGTGAGGTAGAGTTCTTTAATGGAGATGACAATCGCTGCCTAGTTTCCGAACCTTGCTCCAAACTCTCTCAGTTCCGCTACGGAATGCCCAGTCGGAGGAGTTGTGGACAGATTAGGGGCTGTGGACGGATTAACTATGCATACTTTGAAGGTCCAACATCCCAGCAGAAGCCACAGCCGCAGCCGCAAAAGCCAAGGCAGGAGCAGGAAACTCAGCAGAGGGAACAGGAGCTCCGTGACCACCACCAACAGCAACAGCAGCAAAACTGTCTCCGACAGCAAGAACGTACGCAAAGGAAGCTGCGGCGCTCCCATTCCGGCCCCGCTGGCTGCTTTAACAAACCCACCTCCTTCCGACTGTCCAGTCACCACCGGAACACACAAGGCCTGGATAAACCGGAAGTTCCTCCCAGAGTTCCAATTCCACCACGACCAATCAAGACGGGAGACTACCGGCGCTGGTCAGCCGAAGTGTCATCGGGAGCCAACAGCGATGATGACCGACCTCCAAAAGTACCTCCTAGGGAACCTTTATCCGGCAGTAATTCCCGCACCCCAAGCCCAAAGAGCCTTCCAATGTACCTCAACAGGATCATGCCCCCAACACAGAGCTTTGCCCCGGACCCTAAATATGTCAGTCGCAGCCTGCAGCGGCAGAATAGTGAAGGCTCCCCGTGCATTCTGCCCATCATGGAGAACGGCAGGAAAGCAAGCACCACGCACTACTTCCTTTTGCCACAACGTCCGTTGTACCTGGACAAACATGAGAAGTATTTTACGGACAGCACAGCGAGTCGAGGCACGGACACCTCTGATACGAGTTCAGACTGGGACTGTCAAAGCAAAAGGAAAACGACAC